TCGAAGCTGTCAAAAATTTGTTGCAAGGAGATATTATCTGGTGTGGATGGAAAGGACCGGCGATGACGAGTCAGTGATGCCAGTTTGGCCCAAAACTGACGGGATTACCCTTTTCCTAAAATAATGTTGAAAGTAATAAAATACATACACCAAATCTGGGCTTGTTTTGGAGGCTTTTATTCGGCGGAGGGATAATGTAAGATAAGACTAAGATCTATACTTCTTATAAATCGTGTCTTTGGCATCACTGGCCAATGTATCTGCTCCGGGCTCATCAATAATGAGGCGACGAGGATGCGGCTCGTCGGCAACGCTGATGACGGCGATGGCGATGGCGATGACCATGATCGATGATTGACCTGTTTTTGTTTCGCCCATCTTCAGAGTGACGATTGCCGGCAAGTCTTCTGCTGGCCCTGACCACACCCATTGACAGGCATCTGCAATGTGCAATTATTTGCGAGGAGAATCACAACAGCAGGCGGAGTACTCAAACGGAATTGCCACATTGATTGATGTGCCCAATAAATTGCACGATGAGCATCAACTGTTTCTGCAGTCTGGCGCTTGGTATGTGGCAGGTGATAAGGCCGATGGGAGCTGACAACGGAGTCGAGTTGCGGAGCATTTAAGTGTCCAATCGATGTCTGCGCTCAAGAGTATGAAAAATAATTGGACGGACAGTGCAGAACAACCATTTATCAATTAAGGCACTCGTACATTTGCACACCTTGTCTTAGAAACGGATTAGGAATCATTCAATTACCTTTTCAGCATCCGAACTCCGCCGAAAATCCACTGACACATCGTTTGACACCTTATGGTGCTGTATTTTTCGCATCTGCTACAGGGATCGGAATCTTAATCCCCAGTGGAATGAGTGCCTTTCGGCGTGTGAATCATTGGCGCATTTTAATTATGGTTTTTAATTTCACGGCCCATATGGCGGGCTGTCAGGTGATTTCCCCTGAAATATGCGCAAAAGACCTGGTTGGAGGCACTGGCGAGTGAAATATTTCACTCTATTTCTGCCTTCGTCTTTCAGAATGAAATTAAGTGTTAATCCCATTTGATTTGTCATTTTCACATGACGTGATTTGGCGGCCTTCGCAGCTCCGGCAATAGCAGCGATCGCCTCTGGCTCGTGATGTATGCGAAACAAATGTTTCTCCGACACATTTATTTGTTTAATGAGACGTTGAATAATTAGTTGGATACGGCACAAGCTCAAGCAAAGGAAGCACTACCAACCCAAAGGCGAAAACACAACTTGCATAGCCGTGAATGCCGCATCCCACACCCCCGCACACACATCAGTTGGCACAGCAATTTATAAATTATGATTGACGACTCTGTGTGCGGAATTGTGTGACCCATCGCAGTTAGCCCCCTCCCTTTCCCAGACCCTTTCCCACTTTGAGCCTCGGCTCCACCATGTGAGATTCGTCCGACATTTTTCTATATAGTTTTTGCCCTGGCCTCGGTCATTATGGCTGACAGCGCGCCTTCAAAATGATGAGTTTAGATTGATGGCCGCACATCACTCAGCGAGATGGCAGCCCCACCGAGTGGAGACGGCAGGCGAAGTCAAAATACCCTATCCAAGGACCCCAAAGGGTCCTTAGATGACAGTCCCAAAACAAGCTAGCAAGTAACAGCGATCGAAGGACAGCAGCATATTTGCAATATTTCTATTTCTGATAAACAGCAAGTAGAATAAAAGAATATACAAAAATAGTTCCTATTTGGATCAGAAAATATAGGCAATTGCATTTTATCTAAGCAAACTTTTGCCAATCTCTTAATATCTTTGTTGCCCTCCAGAGACGGAGAATTAAAATCCAGGGGCTTTCAGTGGTTTGGGCCCAAATCCTCAAGCTCCACCGCTCCGCCTGTTGACATGTGACTAATTTCAGAATCGCAAAGCTGATTTTGCTGAAATTTGATTTTTTGCTGTGAGCCAGCCCCTGGGATAGTTGCCCCAACCTTTCCTGCTTTCGCAACTGCGACGATGATTGATGTGTTTGGCATATGAAGACCGAACCGAAAACAAAAACCCTTTTCCGAAACATATTCTGTGTCATTTTGTGTGTCGGAGGCGAGCTGGGTAGAAATGTATTAATCATCCGTGGCGAGCGGAGGTGATAAATTAAGTTTGAAGACGATTGGGAAATGTGTGTGTCGAGTAATTAGTGAACTGAGCCGGGTCTGGATTGGATTGGGAAGGGTCTTTCCAGATTCCAAAGGTCCACAATGCCTAAGAGAGCAATAATGATGTGCCTGACAGAAGAAATGCAAGAGACCGAAATTAAATATGATAAAAGACCCACACAGTCTGTTGGCATAATTAAGTATGACATGCAAAAGTATGAATTATCACTGAAATGTCAAAGTGTCACAGCTGCCATCAGGCGGCGATGGAGATGGAGATGGAAATGGAGGTGGAGATGGAGATGGAGATGGGGAATCTGGCGGAAGGCATAAATAAAACCAGAGAAGAGAGTGCAAGAAGCCATGACAACGAACGCCGCGTGTGGGATTAACTGACTTGAAAATTTATGATATGAAAAATTACTTTAGCCCGGCACACTCACACACACACACAGGGCACATAGCCTACAAAAGTGCAAACTGAAAGATGCAAAGTGGCGGGCGAGATACAAATACACAAAGAGAGATGTTTATTTTGTATTTTATTCGTCGTCGTCGTCTCCCATTGAGCAGCGCAGCGCATCGCATCGCATCGAGAAATTTGTGGCCCGAACAAATTTCCCAAAGTCTGCGTTGAAAAATTAATGTGCACAACTGGCAGTGCAGTGACAGAGATGCGATGTGAATGGGGTTCATATTCGGCTTCGGATTCGGATTTGGATGCGGATCGGATCGGAGCTGCGCGGGGCGTGAGGGTTACTGTTGTGAAAGCTCTTGATAAATGATTTTGAAATGTGACAAAATGCTTACGAGCGGGATTACCGGGGACGAGACGACGACGGCCCAAGGATTGTTCGCCCGGTTTCGGAAAAAGAGTTATTTGCCAACTGAGGGACCGGCAAAGTTTGTTTTGTGCCAGCGGAATCAGATGGGATTATAGGGATTTGCTCAAATGGAGTTGTAACAGAAGTGAATGCCCAGTTGAGTGAAGGGAAGGTGTGAGTTCTGAGTTCTGAGTGCTGAGTCCTGAGCTAGACGAATAAAAGCCGTACGCCCATGAAAATCAAATAAAATGGGATTTGTTCTGTTGGCAGTCGCTACAAATCAATATTGAATTTTTGCGATTTTAGTGAAGATTATTTGCAGAATGGAAAAGGTTTCTATAAGCTGAATACAATATAAGTGCCGAAGGGGGCTTTTCAAATTTGTATGTATTTGTGTGACAGAAAGTAAAGATAATAAATTAATAATTAGACTGCAGATTATGTGCACTGCAGCACAATCTAAAATCGACATGAAAATGGTTTCTTTCTCGCCATTGCTTGACTTATATAATGGCCTTTCATAAGTTTCTACCTTTTCTTCTTTGTTTTGACCATAACCCATCAAGGCATCAATCAGGCGTTGTCGCGCCACCAAAAAGACTCGAACCAAAGTTACCTCCGTGGCTGCCCCAGAGAAATCGAGCTGCGACGCAGACATCAACGATCGCTGAATGGCTAATCGGTGATCGACGCCTTTCGGCGTTGCCAAGCCATCGATCTTGTTAGTTTTGACGCATCTGTAAGTGGCGGCGACACCAGTCGCCGAAAGTGAAATGCAAAAGATCCCCCGCCGGATCGATGGTCGGATCGGTGCGGATCGGATCGGATCGGATCGCAACGGACCGGGCCAAGACATCATCAGTCAAGTGGCGCGACTGCGTCCGTGGCCGGGTCAATTCGCGTGACAGCTCGCTTGATTAATGCGGCAGACACTTGAGTAACCCTCGAGATAATCACCGAATTCCCCGCCACGGCGCACACTATTTATCATATAATTAAGCGAGTCGATAATGTTATTACACTGTCTATAAATCGGACGCAGCCAGATCGGAGCTGCGCTGATAGATTGGCCACATGCACACACAAGTGTGTGGCAGGTGTCTCAGCGGGTCTCTTAGAAAGTGGCAAGTACTTTTGCAACATCTGACACGACGGTAAACACAGATGGAGCTCGAGGGCAGCGCCTCAATGAGGGTCTGGCTGGGCTCCTGATCGGAAAATACGACGCCATTCAGTTAATTGAAAACCCATATCAATATATTAGATACCGTGTATTAGGAAACTCGAGGGTGTATTATAGTTGTGGGTCAAAAACTTTCAAGCAAAAATTTTACTAAGAGCAATTGTATCATTTACTATGAGGTACTTCATCAAAAGGTGATTTAGCTTATATAAACATAACCAGTATTTCGAAGCGCAGTAATTGAATAAGCCCAACTATTATGTTTCGTTGTGCTCGGCCAGCATAGTTCAGTGCTGGGTATCAGCTAGTCGACAGGGGCACTCCAGAACTCCTTTGTTCGGAGGCGATTAAGCGAAAGCGCCACTCCCTAACCTCCGAGCAGTGTCCACTTTCCCATCCAGCCAGCCCATATAAATCAATTAATTTAAACTGTCAGGCAGCTGTCAAATTGTGTTGCTACCGGGAGCGATTTTCGTTTCGCTTTTGACTCGCTCGGCTTGGCCGGGGTTTTGTTTTACTTTGTTTTGGGTTCTCGAGTTGCGGGGGAAGCCGGCAAGGAGACTTTGGACTTTGGGTACGGGTACGGGTACGGCGACATGTCGAGATTTACTGCTGAGTGATTGACGACTTCATGTGTCATTAAATACCGTTAGCAGTCGCTTTTGTATGCCGCACACTGGACCGGACTCATTTTTCATGCCACAACGCTCGCGTTTAGTGAAAGTCGCGGCGATGCCTTATTTGTAGCTGCGGCACTTATGGCTGCACATTGCAATTAGACATCCCGCCGCGGGCCGACAATTACATATAGTTTAAACCAATAATAAATAAATAAAACATGGTTAGGGCAAAAGAATGCCTACTTTTAATTGGGGGAAACTAGCATCCCATTGCATGCTTCAAAGTCCATTCCCTAGCGAGTTGCAAGGCCCTCGCCTCGTTGTCCTTCCACAATTCCGCAACGTCGTTGACAAGTGGATCATCTGGATTTGGGGCACTCAGGAGGGCCTGGATCGAAAGAAGAACGGTGCGAATTTGCAGAGCAGGACTCCATTTTTCCTTCAGGATGTCCAGACAAATGCGGCCCAAACTGTCGATGTTCGGGTGGAAAATCTTTGTCAAGAAGCGAACCTTTGGCGCTTTCATGGGATAGTCTTCGGGTAAGAACAATTCCAATTTGAAAACACCGCCCTCGAAAGGGGAATCGTGGGGGCCAGTGACGAGGACATGGAAGTAACGCGCATTACTCTCATCCGGCATGGCGCTAATCCCGGGAACTGGATCCTCCAGAAGGCGCTGCGTCTCCTTGATAATTCTGGTGGTCAGTGCGGCCATTTTCCCTCTATAGCACTTAATAAAGCAATGAAACTGTGACTCTTCTTATCAAAGACCCTTGATCCTCTTTCTCCAAAGACGTTGATCAATTTTACGTGTTTCAGTTATAAAAAATGTCTAAGTTGAATGAAACTGCTGAGTTCCCCTGTGAGTCTTCTTACTTCAACTGATATGTAACCTGTCAATAAATTAAGCTAGCTGATTTGAATGCCCAAGCCATCTCAGTAGGACCGAATCAAACGCTCGATTCCCATACATTTGCAATTATCCTTCAGTGGGCAAAATTGAAATTGACTGGAGGCATTTGCCCCTCCATTCCACTGCCACCACCCACAACAATAAAAGCGAACCGCATTTCCATCCTGCAATGCTCGAGGGTCCTTCTGGAATCCCGGGTGAACTGGCAATGTTAACTGGCACTCAACTAGCAGCTTATTAGCAAACTTTCCCATTGGATTATATAGTTGAATATTATAATAATCGAGTTAGGTTCGTGTAAGTGGATGCCCCACCGCCCCTGCAATCCGCATGCTTTGGGCCATGGTTAGCAGCCAGCTTTCATGCACAATTTCCGTTTTCATGGCTCCGGGCATGAAAATAAGCCCACAGTTTATGAGACGACGAGGCGGACGACGTCTCCTGTTGGTGTAACAAAAAGTGGGCAACTTTTTAGTGCGCCGAGGAAATACTTTGCTAAATTGCCAGGGCAGTGGCAGTGGCAGTGGCGGCCTAAACCTCCTCCCCCCACCATCATAGTTTGGGCCTGCCCTCGTGGAATGGCTGCAAAAACCAATAACAGGACGTAATACACTCATGTGTGTGCGAATTGGGGGGATTCCAACTTTTACAAATCGTTAGCATTTCGCACGTTTATTGAGTTGTTTTTGTATGTAAATTGGTTGCATAACTTTTGCCATGGAAAGTGTCGAGTGGCCGGAATGGCAACACAAACGCAACCTAACCCTTTCACTGCCCTCGCACTATTCTACACTGGATTATTGTCTGTAGATTTTCAGATACGCAAACGAACATTCCCCGCCCGTCTGAGTGTCCTCGTGTGCATAAACTTTGATTCCACTTTCCACTCTGAATGCGCCAGCGCATGCTAAACGCTTTGGAATCCCTGGATGGGGTACTTCGGCATAGGGGTACTCTCATATCTATCTTACATGTTGAGATATTTTAGAGCTTTTATCTCCAGATTGTAATATCACATAATGTCCGATCTATATATCAAATATATCAAAAGACGTATATATGTAGTTTAAATGAGTTAGTTAACTTACCCAAGTAGCTCAACATACCCTCATCATCCACGAGTGCGAAGCATAAAAAGTTCAAGCTATTTGCGTATCTCGCAGCGAAGGCTTTTCCGGCTGGGAAAATGATGCGGGGAAAGGTCGCCTGTCTGTGGCTGTCGGTTTGGTTTGCATTGGTTTGCTTCGGTGGTGCATATTTGTCGTTTGCGGTTTTCGCTGCAAATATTATAGCAAATTGAACTGTAAATAGTTTTTATTGCCCTTTTTGCCGCAGAGACGGAGTCAAACAGGGTCGAGTCGAGAATATGCCGGCATGAAGTGTAGCTCTGACTTTTGTTTTCCAACTATATCGGCTCTGGCCAGGCCACAGTTTGTTGGCAGAAATTCCATTTTCCGGCCAACCCAGAATGGGCCACAAAATGAAGTTGTGTCACCAAGATTAACTCGGAGAAATACCAAAGCAAACAATTGACTGGAGTCGCGACAAAAAGTTGGAAAAATATACATATATATGAAAAATTCCACAAATAAGTTGGGCGGCTTATCAGTGCTGTCAGTGTGACTGCTTTCTTATGAATTAATTTCATTGTTCCAATGATGGAAATTAGGCAGCATGAATTCACTTAAATTCAAGCACACTCCCCAACGAATTGCCACATTTGGACACCAGCCCCAAAGAAATCAAACAACAGCGGCGACACCCCCTCATCGGATGATTAATGGCTGGCAAATTAATATGAAATTCCGTAGCCGGCATCGCCGTTCGCGCAGAACACGAAACTAATAATTTGTGTGCCGTAATTTGCATAGATATATCATTATTATTATATTTCTTTCCTTTTATTTCGTACACGCCTCGCATTTTCATCAATCAATCGGATGTGCAGGAGGTTGGCGGGGGGAAAGACATGACATGAAAAATATGTTTGCCAGTCGATGGAAAAATTATAATTTATAAAAATTTTAAGAGCACTGCAACGTGCGCCACTGCCACTCGCGCCATCAATCAAAAATCTCGGTGGACATTGCAGACGAATGGAAGGTGGACAGCTGGACAGCTGGACAGCTGGACGGGCGCCTGTCTCGGATCCCAGATCACCACGGTAGCCACCAGAGGCCCCGGACCAATGACCGACCCACCATTCACTGGCTGCCTAAAAGGAGTCGACCTGGGGTGATACCGTGGAAAAAGTTGCCTACTACAAAGTCATCAATGTATTAAATGGAATCATTAATAAAATGGTACATTTCAAGCATTATTGTTACTTTTAGGCTTGTCGTGGTTGAACGGGGTATTCAAAGTTCGTTACCCAAGCAGACTCTTCAGTTATAAATGATTCAAATTATGGAGCCGACAATGAGATGAAGACCATGACGATGCTGCCCCGACTTCTGATGATGATGATGTTCGCCTATCGCCTTTTAGCTATTGTCCGCCCGCCTCGACGGATGTTGAAAAATGTGAAAATTGTGAAAAATTCTACAACAATCCAAAATAACAAATGCCCCAGACGGAAATGCCGGAAAAAATAAGTACATTAGATTGGTTCCAGGCCAAGACAGGCCGGCCGGGCAACCAGGGGCATCAATTTGTTCGCTCTCAAGCGAGATTAATGATGTTGCACTGTGGGCCACTGGGGGCATCTAACATTAAATGCCAGCTAATTAATGATCAAACTGTTGCAAGAAACGACACGCCCCCAGCAGCATAATGTGCCCACATTTCGCACGATTGGATCTGAGAAGCAAGTGACACAGTAGTCACTCCATATGGATGATGATTGCTCCGCTCGGTCGCACTTCCCTTCCGGTTTTGTGTGTGCCATGATTAATGAGCTTATTATGTACTCTGCCACTCGCTCAATCTCTCCTTCACTCGGTTCAGAGTCTTCATCCCGTGGACAAGTCAGAATCTCTATTCTTTTTGGCCCAGGCCTCATTATTCTTCATTGTTCATTTGGCGTAGTGTGCCAGAAAGATTTATTACAAGCCCACTGGGCCAGGGATGAAAAAGGTCTCCGATTATTATCAAAAGGAGTGGGAAAGTCATTCAACACATTATGAGATACACATTTTACTATAGTTGCTGTCCAACAACCAGCTTTCTTATCCTTTCAATCCTTCTTCCCTTTGAGCAAATTAGCCTGAAACCTGTATTTAATTATTGGCCCATTTGGGGATCTGGATTTCTGTCTGATTTCTGCCATTTGCCCACTCAACGCCTCAGTCCGAGCCCTCTGGATGTGAATTAAAATGTTTATTGGCCCCTCAGCTCGGCAATTTGCAGTATTTCTCAGCTTAGGCAGCCGCAGCAATGCAGTTGCAACAAAATCAGCGAACGAACGCGCTGACAGCTGTCAACATGTCGTATGATTAATGTTGGCCAAATGCGGTTGCATTTTTGTGCGTTTCGCGCTGTAAATGAAATGATAAATTGGGTGTGCAAACATTTTTGCCTCGCTCGCCATCCAGTGAACCGATTTGCAGCTTAATAACGAAATGAAAACAGAGCAGGCGGCAGCGTTGGAGCGAGAAGTCCCTCAATTAAATTGCCTTTCACCAGCAGAATGCCATTCAGGAAACTTTGCCACATATCCGTTCGTTCATTCCCCACTTGGAGTTGCACAAACAGTTGATATTCTTGTTGCTGTTGTTGTTGTTGTTGCTCATGCTGGAGTTGCGGCAGTGGCACACCTTTGTTGACACCTTTGGCCAACACAACCTCAACCTCGGGCGCTTTCGTGGCGTGTGTGAAGTGGCATGTCCACATCCGTTTCGCCTCGCGTTTGATTGATTGAAACTGCAGTTGCAACTTGCTGGCACCAAAAGGCGTTGACAGCTCGCCTCTGGCAGTCGTGTGAATCGTGGGGGAAGTGGGAGTACACCTTACAAAGTGCACAAATCACCGCTAGTAATGTGCGACCTTTGCCCTCGTGTCAGTTATACGCGACGCGGGAGAAATCACTGCAATTGAAATCAATGAAAAGTCTGAATGGGAAATCGCTAGTTGGAAAAAACGAGATATGGACACGTGCTTTACGTTTGTAATCATTAATAAAATAGCTAATCATGCACGGAAATTAGGAAATAAGATGGTTCTAAAAAATGCAGTCACGCTAGCTTTCATTGTGAGTATAAACGGTATTAGAGATGCGCTGCTTATAACTAATGCACTTTAACATTTACCCAAAGTCTGGAGCCTATGGTTGGGAAACAATTAATCTGAATTTTTTTCCAAGTATTTAACTTATCTTGACTGTTACAAAACGTAGCCAATTGCATATTTTAAAAAATAAAAATACAGAAGGCTGTAGTCGAGTTCCTAGACTATCTGATACCCTTTTTGCCAGGCGTGCAAGAAGTTTTTCGCATATCTATAGAAATTGACAAGATATATAAAGGATTTTTCTAAATTAAAAAAATCCGATTAAAGTATGTTGAGTTATAGAGTTTAAAAAATCAGCCTTAGGACATACCATATAAAAAAAATTGAAAAAAATTAATTTCTAAATTGTAATGCAGATTTGTAGAGAATTGCGCCAGAAACATTTAGAGGTATGCCACTTGAAAATCCGATCAAAATAAGTTGAGTTATGGAGTTTAGAACTTCAGCCTTGGGGCATTTTTTAATTTTTCTCAATTTCTACAACATCATACATCAGAAAAATGACAAAAAAATTGAAAAAAAATGAATTTCTAAATTTGAATGCAGATTTGTAGAAAATAACGCCAGAAACATTTAGAGGTATGCCACTTGAAAATCCGATCAAAATAAGTTGAGTTATGGAGTTTAGAACTTCACCCTTGGGGCATTTTTTAACTTTTTTGAATTTCTACAACATCGTCAACCAGAAAAATTACACAAAAATTCAATTTCAAAAATTTTCTAAAT